GGATGCAGCCCATGAATTTGGACACGACCTTGGTATTATTACACATTAGACATATTGGTGATTATAAATAAACATATCAGGATAAAGTCTTGGAAAATGTGATACTAAGTCCAAAACCTTTACGTGGACCTAAAACCCAACAGGAAGGAACAGGAACATGAAATCGAGGTGGAGCATAAAGTATCCTGATGTGAGCTGAGGGAACGTCCTCCCTGGTTTGTGTTTCCTCTACTTTCCCGAGAAAGCAAAAGAAACACATAAAAGACGTCACATCTGAAGTCAATGCTGCGCTTCACGGTTTTAAATAAAGTGATCCAAAATGTTCTCAGTTCTTCCTCCACCCACGCTCCACTTCTCCACCTCTGCACCAAGCACAGTTGATGAAATCAGCTCAGTGACTTTGGTGTAATCTCACGACAGACGGAGGCAAACATCTCTGAGACTCGGCTTCGCCGTGAAGCAGAATAATGTTGAAGATCTGATTCGGTGAAACTCTACATTTGTGTGTTTGAGATATTTGAGTGACTCGTGTTTGTTCTTCAGCCACAGATACTTCACTCCTCCAATCAGGAAGACCAGGAGCCACTGACAGGTCAAGTCCCGACGCCACCGCGAACTCAAGCTCCGCCTTCCACTAACATCTGCTCCGCACATCCCCAAACCCCTGCTGACAGACTCCGCGACCCCCGCGCTCCCAGCTCCACCCATCCAGCAGCCCACGTAGGAGAGGATGACGGGGAAAAGCAGAGGAAGGTGGAGGAGACTAAGTCAGGGGAAAGGAAGAAAACCCACGGCAGGTACCTGCAGCCGCCGCAGCCCTCCAAGCTCCGCCTCTTCCCAAAGACGAGGGCAGCACGCGACCCCGACACCATCAGCACCTCTGGACTGAATTTCAGAACGCTGGCCTTCACCTCCACCTCCTCCCGCCTCCCCAAACCAAAGAACCACTGAGGCGTCCGACTCCTTCCTAACACGCAGCGCCGCGAGCGCCGAACTTCCTGTGAAAGAAAACGAGAGCTGCCGATTATCGACACAGTTAATTTATTTAACCTTATTTTAAGAAGTTGTTGAGAATAAAGGTTTAAGTCTGAGTACGTTTCTGCAGCGAGTGGGAGGGGCCATCACAGGTATGTGAGGTGTTGGCTCTTCATCACAACCTTTAACTTAAACGTCAGAGTTTTATTGTCTTTGCAACACGCTTCGATTATTCTAGCATCAACACTGAAACTGCACCGA